TATTTTCAGGAACCTTGTAGATACTACCAGTATCTGCATACTTGCAATCATGGGCTTCAGATGCTACAAACGAGCTTTGCCTTTGCGCGAATGCTTCTGAAACTGCAGAAGTTGAATTATCGGTTGCTGTTGCTGGTCGGATGTGAGGATGCACGTTATATAGTTGTGCTGTCCTGCCTCGTGGCAAACAACAGCATCATCACGAACAGTCCTCAGTTCATAGAGCATTGTGGGAACTGACAATGCTGATGGCAAGTGGGAACTGCAAACGACAATTATGGACCCCTGAAACTTGCGATCCAATCGTCTGCAAGTTGCACATGCCGCAGATCTTTATGCCAAACTGTCTTACTAAAAGCGTAGGGCTCAAAAAAAGGGTGATGGTTGAAAGTTGCTCAGCTTACCCACTGACTGATCCTTCCCAGCAGCTGCGTAGCAAACTTCAAGCACTTCCAACCTGGTCAAGCAAGGCACGCTCAGTTGAAAAAAACTGCCAAAACGTCGACAGTTGAGTTGCAGGGCATGCTGTGCAAGCATCATGGCTAGTTCAGGGAAGACGGCTAAGGCGTGGGCGCGGGTACAGTATAATTAGGTTGGCTTCCCTAGCTAGGTCCCTGTTGCACGGAGACTCTAGAGCCAGTTTCCTGACACTGCAGCGCTGATTTCAGGTTGTTTGTGCGCTTGTCATCTTATGCTAACGTAGACCCATGATTAATAAACCCCCGCCCCTTTTAAGGGCCTAGATATTAGGGTCCCGATTATAATCCCTATTAAGGGGACGGGGTTTATCAATCATGGGTCTACATTAGGAGGACCCCCCACCCCGTAATAGCGACTATGAGGGATAGTAATAATCATATTAGGGTCTTATATTCCGATTATACCACTATTACAGGGTGGGGGGTCCTCCTAAGGTCTACAATAGTACCTGAAGCTCCGGTCATTCCTCGCCTTCCGGCTGGGCAATCGCGGCCAGAAAGATCTCCCCTGAGCTTCAGATGGGATGGTGGGTCCCCAACAGCAACAAAAGACACTCTCCCAGCCAAAAACTAATATAGTATATTGGGGTTATATTGGGGTTCATATTGGGATAATGGAAAAGAAAATGGAAACTACTACATTACATAGTTTGTATATTGGGATCATATAGGGATAATGGAAAAGAAAATGGAAACTACTACATTACATAGTTTGTATA